ATACAGAACCACATAGATAAGTATCCCAATTAATACCCTAGAACCCACATCAACAATATTCGAAAAAAAATCTCATCTCAAAATATACGAAAAACAAAACTCACTGTTTCATTTGGAAAAGTTCAAGAACTTGAGACGCACCATCAAAAGAGAAATTGAAAAATCTCTGTTTAAAAACTGTTTTTCCGTTAACCAGGTGTCGCACCCTTACGAACGACAACCCTCAGAAGTCGAAACTTGTGCGAGCTAAGGATTAACGAGGGCTTACCTTTTAACGTGTGATTCCTAACACGAGTTGAGCAATAGCAAGTGAAAATCGATCGTTCAGAAACAAACTTGAAAAGTAATCCGCAAGAATTCTGGTGATACGTACAGTCAAAGCAGAAAAAACAATAATTCCTGGTATAATGTTCGACAGTGAGGAAAAACTTTCTGCTAGCGAGTCAGTTGTCAATTCACTCGCGAAACATTTTGAGAGTGTTTATTCAACAGACGACAACCCTCAGAAGTCGAAACTTATGCGAGCTAAGGATTAACGAGGGCTTACCTTTTAACGTGTAATTCCTAACACGGGTTGGACGATAGCAAGTGAAAATCGATCGTTCAGAAACAAACTTAAAAAGTAATCCGCAAGAATTCTGGTCATACGTACAGTCAAAGCTGAAAAAACAATAATTTCTGGTATAATGTTTAACAGTGGGGAAAAACTTTCTACTAACGAGTCAGTTGTCAATTCACTCGCGAAACATGTTGAGAGTGTTTATTCAACAGACTGTTATAATTATAATCAAAATATATCCTCAAATTTATTAAATATTGATTAGATATTGGAAAAAAATATACTGAATGCAGCCTCTAAACTCAAAAATAAACTAACATGTGGCCAGGGTAATATACCTTGCCAACTTGCCAAAAAACATATTAATATTCTGAAGTATTATACTCTACTCATTATTTTTAACGCCGTGTTATCCAGAGGAGTGGAAAGTATCACGAATTTGTGCGGTACACAAATCAGGAAAGAAATCAGAAATCTCTAACTATAGACCGATTTCTGTAGTCTCCAAACTTCTTGAGATGATTTTATTCGAATTTACTTATGCACCTGTAAAAAATTTGATATCAGAATTTCAACATGACTTTATGAAAATGAGGGAACTGTATCGAATCTCTGCAAGTTGATGTGATCTATACAGATTTCGGCACGGCAATCGATATATTTTCCCAAAAACAATTAATATTGAAGTTGGATGCATATGGTATTCCCTCAAAAATACAAAATCCACTAAGATCGAATTTGAATCATCGTAGTCCATATATCGAATATGAAGATGAAATTTGGATGTATTTTTTGCATAGTCCGGGATTCCCCAAGAATCTAATTTGGGGCCGTTGTTACTTTTACTTTTGATAGATGACATATGGGCTTCGATATAATTAGCAAAGCTGATTTTTGTGATGATTTCAGAAAAATACGTGAGAAATCTGATGGTATGTTGCTCCAGAGAGACTTGAACTCACTCCAAAAGTGGTGTAATGCGGACAAAATCTTTCTCAATGTTGGAAAATGTAAAATTATGACTTATGCTCGAGAATTGAATACCATACCAGTTCAATTATACGACTTACCAAAATATAATGATAATTTCGACATAGGAATCTTATTCGACAATAAACGTACTCGTACATTTAATGCACACATTTGAAATACTGTTTGGAGAGCTTCTTGGTTGATGGGATTTGTTATAAGAAACTGCAGAGAGTTTAGTTCATTTGAATGTATTAGGTCAGTTTACTATAGTACGTAGGAAACCAGAGCATTGTGGTTCTGTCTGGAATCCTAATCAAACAAAAAATACATTGATGCTTTGGGAAATGTTCAGAAGAAATTCCTCAAATTTGCGTATTATAAGAAACATGGACACTATCCGGTTGAAAATTATGAATACATTTGTCTTCTGAATGAATTCAATTCTCTAACAGAAAAAGAAGAGAAATGGCAGATCTCATTTCCATCTATAAACTGGTCAATGGTGCCATGGACTATTGTCCGAAACTAATTTTAATGTTCCTCGATATACGTCCAGATCAAGTGTCACATTCCGCATTAAAGTACCCAATTCTCAGCACCATTTCTACAGTCCAGTAACCTCTACGTGCTGAAGTGCCAGAAAAAAGGTACTCTATAGATTTATTTTCTCTACCTTGAATCAATTTAGAAATAGTTTTTATATATTATTTCCTAACTGAATATCAACATGTTCACTTATACTTCCATTTATCTAGAAATAGGTACCCGCGCTATTAATGTATACTCCTTTCAATGAATAAATGATTAAACAACTAAATTATTCATTCAACTTTTTTAACAAGCTTCCAAAACCAACATATTCAACTTGAATTCAATTGGACAAATTCCATATCACATAAATGATCTGAAGGAGAAATAAATTATTATTTTTAATTATGATTCCGTACAGAATATTATCAGTTACATAGACACTTTTTTTAATTATAGTAAACATCGTATATGAACAATTTTCAAGTTCTGATACAAGAATACATCCTCAATCTATTTCTGCCAGTGTAATTTGAATCAATCAACATCTTCCTTCCTCACACATGTTTCAATTCAAAATCAAACTGCCAATTTGTATCACTTCAATCTCCTCATCTAATTACATCAGAATTCATCTCAAACGGTACATCAAAAGGCTAACAACCTTGTAATCACCTCAATTACTAACGAATCCGTAATTTCCCACATGTACGGGGAGAAATATCACAGCGTCTGAAGTTCTATAACCCCAATAATTCACGAAGAAGAAACTGAAAAAGCAAAATTTCTCCCAGGATGAGCGCTTAAAATGTAATCGTCGCCTCAACGAATGATCCCGCAATTGAATAAGCTCAGGGGAAATTAGTGCAACCTGATCGTTTTCCGCACTGGAATAAATTTCTTTTAATTCAATTTGACGTGTGAATTTTCACCAGCAAAAATAGACGAGAAAGAGACTGATTGGAATAGTGATAACAGCTGAATGCTATTGATTGAACAATCAGCATTTTCATTACGAGGAGCAGATAGAAAATTCGTTCAAATAATAGTACAAAATAGTCTGATGAACCTCTTGCAATGTCTTGAAAAAATTATAGATATGTTTCACTTCAAAGAAAAACTTTCTCATTAGTCAGTTGCCTATGCTTGAAGATTGGCAGAAACAAATCTTGCACTGATGAGTGGCAAATGAGCCCTAAAACCGGACTGCAAGTGTGCCCGTTCCAAAATTGAAGGTCGACTCTTTCAGTTGTATTGCCAATTGCATATGCAATTGACAATACAACTGTCGGATATAATCCAACGCCCCTTATGGTATTAACCAGGGGAGTAGTTGTTTTCTGATAGGCGTCAGTCGATTCAACCTACTGTGTAGGTATTTCCGAGACTGGCTTGAACGTTTAAAGTTCATTTCTTTAGATTTGTTTACTGTCAGTCTTCAAACATAGCCCACTGACTAATAAGAAAGTTTTCCTTCCTTATTCAGAGGAATTGGATAAATTTCGGATATGAAGTTGGTTAGTACCTCGTCCATTAGATGGAGTGACATTTTGTTGTTCGCTCCAACTTAGGAAGAGGAATGAAATATTCTGAAAGAATTCCGATTTTCAGTTATGTAATATCATTGACTTCAGGTCGATGATGGCCACTATTTTGCATATAATCCAACGCTATTCGTGGTATTAGCCAGGGGAGTAGTTGTTTTTTGTTGGCGTCAGTCCATTCAACCTACTGTGTAGGTATATCCGAGACTGGCTTGAACGTTTACAAGTTAATTTCTTCAGAAGTATTGCATTCGTTTGAAAATGTCCTTGTAGGACAAAAGTGCATTAACATTGATTACAAATAAAAGTGTTATAAATACATAGAAAGCTTCAATTTTCATTATGTATACATCAATATGTTGATGAATGCTTCTTGACTGATGGGTATTGAATTTTCAGTTTTTTCTTGTTTCATAAATGATAAAAATGATAATAAAAATAACGTTACAAAGTGATGTACACGAATAAGTCGATGTGTGGGCGCGTTACATTCCATAGGTTGAAGTATAATTGATTAGCTAAAATCTTACTCAAGATAACAAAAAAAAAATACTTGAAAAATATATCCCGAAAATTCGAAATAAGACAGAAAAAACTGATAAATCAATCTTCAATTTTGTCAGTCTATTAGGAAGTTGATTAAACAGTGTGTAGCACTGTGGAATACAAACTGAGTAGAGAAAAGTATCTTCTGTATAATTCAGTGTTCATATAAAAGTATTTGTTTCGAAACAGTTTTTTTCTTTCGTGTAATTCACTGTTTATATGAAAGTAGCTGTTTCAGGAGGACTTTCTTCCAGTTTGTATCTGAAAGTTACTTCTTTGTATAGACTAAACATCCATGTATAGAGTTACTTATTTTCAAATTGATTACTTCCTTCCTTTCGTTGAAAGATTCTCACATCTTTTTTTTGTATCAAAATGGAATAGTAGAAAGCCAAAAACTTTCTTTCCTAAAAATTAATCACTTCTTCAATCCAAAAAAGAACATATGAAATATCTTCCAAATACATTTGTTGAGAAAAACATTCGAAAACATCTCTCTCATAACCTCAACTACTATTTCTCGTCGCCAGCCTCTGGGTGACCACCATTAGAACTTTTAGTTTGAAATGATGTACAATTTTCTATTTTTTTAAATCAGACAATGTAGATATATTTGTTTCAATTTTTGTTTCCTTTTCATAACTCGTTCACAGTATATTTCCATTAGAGTATCATAATTTGAAAGAGAGAATAGTTGTTTTTTACGCAAAAACGTACCAAAATGAAAAGATTCGTAATAACGTATTTGTCTGAGCCACTTAACGACTTGATGACTTGCACTCGTTATGAAGCTATTACTATACAAGGCACAACTTCATTATATTAAATGGTTTATTGTAAAGAAAACTTACTTGAAACTTTGAACCTAGATGCATCACTCCCACATCGCTCTCTATTGTACAATAATAATTTACAGGTTTTCCATGGACCGAAATATCCTCTTTCATCTCCGAAACCACCTGAAAAAAAAAAAGAAAATAGTTTTAAAGTGGGCACAGGTATATAATTTTTGAGTTGTTCATTGATGTTGTCATCATTTTAGTGCTAGGAATCACACATTAGAAGGTGAGACATTGTTCATCTTCAGTTGGTGCAAGTTTCGACTTTTATATGGAAGTTCAGATAGGAATAAGCGTTGGTTAACGAAAATATACATTCCACATTCAGGTATATATTTTAACACTTTATTCAGTGCGGAGATGAATAGTCCTCACAAGATATCACTTTCGGTAGTTTTTGATAAAGAAGACATGGAATAATTTTTGGGAAAGAAAGGTTCTGGCTCTCTACTTCTCCATCTGAATATTTTTTTGTATGAAGATGGAGAAGTAGAAAGCCAAAATTTTTCCCGAAGACAGAAATGGTGCTACCAACTTTTATTCAAATTGAGAATGCGAATTCATGATGTCTCGTTTGATATGAACTTTGATGCTTTATCTAACTCTATTTAATTTTTTTGTAAATCAATCAGCTATTTCTTACTAATAAATAGTTTCATATTCGTTCCGATAATCTGTAAGTAAACGATAAATGCCTATCACAGTTTCAATAAAATTTTAATTCTGAACCCAATCCAATTTTATGTTTGAAACTTTCCACTTCCTGGCAATAATGAAGTCAGATGACAAATTGATTTTTTACATAAATTCACATCACGGAAAGTTTCAGGTGTTATTTCGTTGCAGGTGTTTTTCTATCCATCAGTTTCGGAATGTACTGCGTTTAAATTTCAAAAATCTCTACAAACGATCTGTACCCGTCATTACAGGTAATCCAGCAGGCCTATCTGAAGGACCACATTCGCTTAAGCACCAGTTTGGATAATTGTCAACTAGCCTCTTGCAAATCAGCTGGTCGTAATGGAATGGAACCTCATTCTGCAGAAACGTAAAGTGAGTTGAAAACTCATTTGAGTCTGTCAATTACCCAAACTTTCAGATAGGCAGTTGTGATCCCTTAGGAAGGCCCAGTGACGTATTTCGATATTTTTGATAGAATACTTGATATCTGAAGTGAACGACACACAACCCCAATTCGTCAGTTCATTTCACAAATCGTGGATAAAAGAAGAGGTGTTGGCAACGAAATTACCCCAGGAACATTAGTATTCAATTCAAACAATATAGAGAGATATAATAAAAATAATTATTTTAACATTTGACACTTATATAACTCAAACTGTATCGTCGACGTTGAAGCTATTGGAATATTTCTCCAGAAACATTGAAAACTTTTCAAATGTTGATATGCTCAAATTGATGTACGTTACTTTCATAGGAAGTAAGGTAGATTATGTATCTTCAATTTGGTCTCCATCATATCAAAATTCATTGTTTTGAAGTGTAATGGATTCTAGCCAGCTAGGAGCACAGACCAGAATATTCATTAAACACATTCAAGTTAGAAACCCAGGCAGATAGAAAAAAATGCACTGCGAGTATGTTTTTATTTAAACTCTTGAGTAACGAAATTGATTTTAGTGACTTATTAAGACAAATTTAATTTCTTGTATCTAGATCACAATCCAGGCATATGATTGCTTTCTACTATAGGAATTCTGAGACAAAATTGAAAAAGTCGCCAACATAAGTAATATATGATTCTTTGATTTGAGCCCGCCTGCTTGCGCACAAACTCATTTTCAATATCACCCCCACTACAGCTCTTATAAGACATTCAAATGCTCTGTACAGAGACATATCATTACTTGTCCTCCAATGCTATTGGCTTTTGGCAATTTGTGTTGTTTCTGAAAAAATTGTATCGCCTAATAAAAAGCAAATCATCAAAAGTGTATCATTGTATAACAACTTAATGAACTGTACTACTACCTATAATACTGAATAAAATATGAAAAGAAATTACAAAGAAGTCATGTTCCATTTGTCTTAAAATCTGTCTGAAAATCTGATTTAAAATCTGTTCCATTTGCCTATTTAAAATTAATTATAGGTACGACACAGACCGGCAATATGGATGATTGAAGAGGCTATATTTGAAGATTGTATAGTGTGTGTCAGGAAGTGAATGGTAAACATTTTGAACAGATATCGAAATTGACTGGAGTACCTAGGTTTTGAATATATTGTAACGAATTAACGAATCAACTGTCTTGATCAAATTTATTTTTAACAATATTTCACTATCACAACTAATTTATATATAACACTTAGTAACTAACGCTTAATTTATCTTCACAATTAGATTCCTTTCCTTAAACGCACGATTCACTTTCTAAGTACAGACTACTCCTCGGGACGGAGAGAGCGACCTTTTTATATCGTCAACGAACTTTCCGGATTTCTCTGCGGATTTCAGGACCCACCCACACCTTTCCCGCTGGTCAACATTCAGTAGTTGTTTCATGTTCCGAAGTTGATATGAAATAGTGCTAACTCTGCTTCTATTGCGTATACAAATACAAATGCCATAACCTCAATTGTTTTTGTGGGTACTGTTATAACCTGATAAACCAATTTGTTCATTCTTTTTTCTTTATTTTTTTCCATTCTTCTAATAGTTATTTTGCTATTTCGGGCTGAAACAAATCGAAAATCGCTCCAGTCATTTTTATATGGTGTAACTAACACTATTCTG